TCATTACCAGATTAAAACAATGAAAGTACCTTATTGTCCAGACATTGGCTTGCAACTGATGATAGAAATTTGAACATTCAGAGAAAACATAAGGTAGAACTAATTGTGTCTAAATTAAACACAATCATCTTCTTGATCAGCTTGAAGGAGCGATTTATTAATAGAATCTGGGCATTAGCATTTAGTTACATTAATGCCTTCCACTTTGCAGTCTCATTTCATTATGAATGCTTATCCGCTATTTGCACTGGAAAATGATGCATAATGCAAATAACTTTAGAAGTTGATGCTCTCATTCTCTTGTTACTCACTAATCTTTATGTCCTTAAATATAATCTTGCTTCATTTCCTGACACCATAAGCTTTTGTATCACTTCATACACTAATGGTGTACTAGACCTAAAACATCTACAACATTTCTTTAAATTCTAAGATCTCCCTTTTCCTTCATGATAAACCTGAACTGCATTATATTTCAGTTCCTAATTAATAAGCACATATATGTTATTGCCAGTTAGTTGCTTATGCCTCCAAAAGATTTATATTGCCTACTTTATTCCTTTAAATCCAAAATGTTGACATACTCTTCCAACTCAAATGAGTCCAATTGTTATCATCCAGAAAGCTATGGTACTCATAAGGATTTACAGTAAGCTTGATTCTTATTTTACTAATAGAATTTCCAGGTCAAAACAAACTCCTTGTATGAGTGTCATGCTAAAGTTCCCTTCCCTGTTGCCATTGCCTATGCAATGTGTTACTTAAGCTAAATGAACATCAACAGCAAACCCAGAAAGTAATTGAAGCAAGATTTCAGCCTTTTATTCTGATACAGATCAGTAATTGTCAAATTTGAACTGCTCAAATCAAGGTTCTAACGGAACTTGTAATTTTATCTTGCAAACAAGCTATCTACACTATTGGAGCACCTCCTAAGGTGGGGTTTTGACAATGTCCTTATATCCTTTTCATGACAGAGACATAATTGTTCAATTATTTTGTAGCTTATCTGAAAAAAGAGTTCATCATTCAACAGTCTTTAATAGACTTATATTCCTCGCTGATCAAAACAAGTTGGTTAAAATACTAAGAGATAACAACAATCTAAGATCAATTTAAAAGATAGAAGCCTATTTTATTGTTTGAAAGCAAGATTTGATTTCAAAACTAATATGAACATCATATGTAAGACATAGGACATATGAGAACTTCAGTGTTAACCAACAAGCCTGCCTAAGCCCATGTGCTAGACTTCCCAATGTTTCCTAGCGTCTAACCTTAGGAGGAACTCACAACGTAAACCTTTAATTCCTCTTAAAACTATAAAATAAATTTTAACCTTATAAAAAGCTTTCATAAGTTGATATTTCTTCATTGACTTGGATTGGTAGGTCTTTGAAAATGCCTCAAATTACCTTTAGATACATCTGCCGGAGAGTTCCCAATCAAGCCACCAGCACTTTCAAATCGAGTTAGCGTAGGTTTGTACACCTGCCATCCAATGCAAATTTTGGGAACATAGTTAAACTAATCTCTTGTTCACCAACAATATCTAACTAAAATTCCAAGAAAGTGAACATGCATTTATTAAAAACATATGAATAACAGCAAAACAGAAAGTGAGAATGTCACATGCAGACATGTAGATTTCAGGCCATCTAGAAGACAAAATGAGGAGAACACCACTTTTTCCAGCTAGTCAAATCATGAACTTACAAGCAGATCCAATAAATTTGTCCAAAAACACGTGCAGCTTAGAACATAGACAAAACCTCATAAAATATATTAATTTGAACTTTATTCTTCTAAGGTAAACAAAAATGTTGTATATTGACTCTTGAGGGCAATGACCCTGCCTCCCTACCCAAGATAGCTATAAAAAGCTATAAAAAGGGTAAAATAGCTTGATTCTTCATAGAAAAGGTGAACTGTAATTTTGCGACTCCCTCATTGTCAACTAGATACATCAGAATATTTGGTGTTCAATAATCAAGTATGGCATTAACTTATATTACATGTAAGATGCTCAATACATAGAACAAAGAATGTGAAACAAATGGCAGTTACGACTTACATCGTAACCAAGAACACAGAAATTTGATTTCACAAGGTAAGTTGCCATGCCAAATCCCATTGCTCCAAGACCAATGAAACCAACTCGGTTCACAGGTTTAGATTTTGCAGTGATTTGACTTGCAAGTTGCTCTGGGTGGTAGAGTTCAGCATTAGCTGCATCTGTGGTAGTCACTCCAAGTACTTGGTCCCAAACCTGTTCAACGATCATACAGCACAAATGTAAAGAGCAATGTAAGTTTTAGATAAAGAAAAACTTGTCCATGTTTCCCCCTTCAGGCAGATAAATGTTAATGTTTTGTTTGAAGCTACTTCTTATATGGCTGAAAGTTTCATTAACAGAATTACAAGCAACAACCTGAACCAATGGGGTATTATCATCTCCATGACCATGTGTAGACCCTGAAAAAAGAAGCATATCAGGTAGGTAAGAAATACAAGTAGCTCTGAACAAAAAACAAATCACCACAACCGACAAAGTTATCTTAAATTAAACAAGAATCTAGTCGATTAGTACCAAGAACCAGTTGTTGATGAGCAGTTGCCAAAAGTGGAAGAGGAAATGTAAGCGATTTGGCCACATCCAAAACAATACCCTTGAATTTAGGAGGGGAGAAAGAGATTAATTACACTTGAATACCACATAAACAAGCTGCTGCATTATAGTGGAAAATGTCTTTCTAGAAAACATGTTAGTTCTCAAAATTTAAGGGCAACTGTCAAAAATAGACAGAGAAAAGATTATTATGGAACCTGATATGCACCGTTATGTACCAATACATTTACATATTCCTAAGGGTCTAAGCACGCCAAAGCGAAGCATAGAACACTGTCTTAAGTGTACCATTACAGTAAAGTTCAAACAGTATTTTCAATTTTCTACGCTTTTCCTCCTCTCTGACAAGGGTCTTGAGTGACCTCTAGCAGTTGCATCAAAACTATAGGGCTAAGTCTCTGACTAACAAACACTTTTCTGTCCACTAAAAAATATGACCAGGAAAGTCTCTGCAGTAACTCAAGCTTCTTACCCACAAAAGCTATTCAATTCAAGGCAAATAGTGACATGATCCCCTGATTGCAGGATTATGTTGTAAATAATATGAATAAATGAGGACAAATCACAACAATTTATGCAGAATAAGCAGTTATAACCATCCTCACTACAGGCAACAAAGTGCTGCCTCAAATTTGTCTCCCCCTGTACTTCATTATATGCAAGAGAATAACTTTTCTTTGTTTTCACATTTTCATGCTTAATGTACATTTTTATTTCTAACTTAATACCTTAAAGTTAGAATGATTACTTGTTACTACAGATGCTCCCTTCTTGTACCCTCAGTTTCTCTCTTTTGTCAGCCCTCAAAAACTTGACTCAAGGACTTGCATGCACACATGCACACTCTGACAAAGCTGAAAAGCTAGGAGGGTCAATAATGAAGTTCAATACTCATTTAACTTGGCATCGCAAACGTATGTGGATGCCTTTTGCTTTTGTTTCCTCATTAATGTGCTTTCCACTACATCCAACTAAACATATTTTGTATGGTAACTAATTTCATTGTTAGAGATATTGTCATCAGTAAATCAAATTAATTTAACACACAGACCGACAGACACATCAATAACCACAAGCATAGTAATTGTGAAAATTATAAACGCATTAATTACATGTTCTAGATAGCTAATAGTTACAAATTTATCATACGCATAAATTAGAAGTTCTAGATAGCTAATAATTACAAATTTATCATACTTCTAAGTTGAAAGTGTTGAAATGATGCTTATACTTTATGTTTAAAAAAAATAGCAGAAAAGCATATCTCTTCAGAAAATACTATTTTTTTACAAAAATCAAGGCAGCAGCCATTCATATGCCAACTAAACCAAAAGAAAACATTTATCATAGTAGTTAAACTTACCAAATTCTGAATGAAAGGATTCAGGAAATGATATTTGACATTGCCCCTCAGCAACTGTGGAATATAATTCTTGAAAACCCTGCATAGTGCATAAATGGTAACAACACCCCCCCCCCCCCCCAAAAAAAAAATATATATATAAAGGAGAAAATGGGGGAAAGGAAACAAAGATAGATTAAAACTCAATTAAAACCTTCCATAGCATGTGGTTTGTTTGAATTCATTCATTAGGGAAAGCATTAAAAAGACAAGTGCTCATGAACCACTTAAGCAGGGCTTCCAGAAATTACTAGCCATTTTATGCATTGCTCCAGAAACTTGTACATTAGACCTATCCTTGTCAAGTTACATAAAGTACCAATAGGAAATAACTAAGTTCTAAGTTCATTATGGCCAAAAAAATGCTAAATTTATAAGCATATTATAGGCATCATACACTGACTTGATTTGAAGTTTTCGTCCCAATTAGAAGGGGCTTGATAATTGATAGGTTTAATAGGGGCTTAATCATTGATAGGTTTACTTATTCTGGGGGAAATAGGTAATAGGGGCTTGATAATTGATAGGTTTACTTATTCTGGAGGAAATAGGTAATCACAAATAAGATACAAACTGAGGAAGCTAGATGACGAAGTAGAACATTGGAAGGAGTTTCAAATACAATGCACAAGAACATAAAGGCAATGAAATAATATAGCACAAAGTGCCTTTTTGCTGCCAAAAAACAAGACAGACTCAAAACACATATAGGTTTGTAAATCTAAAAACTATCATCACAACCATCAATTCTTATTTCGTTTCAATTTAATAATCATAAATGAAACATCCTTGCAAGTGAAATTCTTCTGTAACACTTGACAAAAGAAAATAACATGTATCCCACAGTATTTATTGAGCATCTAAGGTGTTTTTATAGGTTGCATATTCAAATTAAACAACTTCTACTCTACCAGCCAGCAGCAGTTATTATCTAATGTAATTTTCATCAGAAAAATATTTGGAATTGTCAGACATGTTAAGACACATTAGCGCACTCGCATGTCCACATTAACTCAAATCAAGTCCAGCTTTTGGAGTGTAATTTTTCAACTCATGTGATAACTTGTTCAGCCTAAGCATGAAATTAGACTAAAGCTGAAGCAGAATTGTCCCAGAAAGGATTTCCATTAAACCCTCCAACTTCATTATTTGAAGAACCATATAAATATCATTGCTGAACTAGCTCTAGTTTTTTGAAAACCAAATAAGTTGGAAAAAGTGAACTGAAATGAAACTAATAACTTGCAAAAAGGAACAATCCTGTGATCTGCTTACAGAGAGCCCAAATTGGTCAAATCCCAAAAGCATCTACTCCAACTACAGTAGGATAACCGAGCATGGTAGCCAATTCTAATCAGAGTAACCAAAATATCTACTCTGTTTTATACATACTTGTGGTACTGCAATTATAATCAAACCCCAGTACAAATGGAATAGTTTTTCTTTCACTGTTCCAAGAGAATGACTGCAACAATTGGGAGAATCTGGCAGTTTTAGTACTAATACATAAGAAGCACAGATATAATTTTCTGCTGAACATTCCTGCATTCAGTAATTAAAGAACAAAGGATCCCCATTTCCTCTTGTAAATGAATGAGGTCTATTAAGCATCTAACCGAAAACCAATTAGCAATAGGTGGAGAGGCCCAACTTGAATATAAGATCAAAGGAAACCCAAGACTTAATAGGTGTAAGAAAACACCACTTCACACTCCCCCTCACGTGTAGATCAAAAAGGGCCTACCACGTGGACAAACTCAATAGGGGCAACAGGCAAGAACATAACAAATCTGAGCTTTGATACCATGTTAAGCATCCAACCTAAAACCAATTGGAAATAGGTGGGGAGGCCCAACTTGAATATAAGACCACAAAAAACCCAAGACTTAACAGATGTGAGACAACACCACTTAACAAGTCAAGTTACCAAAATGTAGCAAATATAATTTCCAAACTTTAATTAGATATTATTACCAAGGTATGAAACCTAGAAATTATGTATAAAACTTAAAGCAATCACTTCATATCCAATTATATTAAACACACACCAGAAAACTAAATCTGTGATTATCTTAACCATGCAGATCATATGATAAGTCATAATTCCCTGGAGCACTTTCTAGCTCCAGTTCAACTAATATAGAGTGTACAAAAAGTCATCTACATGCCGTCGGAATGACTAGGCAAACATAAACACAGAGCTCCAATCACCAATTACAAATTATTATCAGCATGCCTTAAAGCTTCCCTGCCTACTATTTATCGTCTGAGCATTATTAATGAGGGAGCCATATTAGATTGATTAAAATCAAGAATTTGGAATCTTTCATTTCTCATATTATATATGATATATGATAGCATAGGGTATGCAATTATGGGGTTTAACTTTTTTAAATGTGAAAGCAGTCATCAAGGACCCAGAGCAAAAATACTAAGGCCATCAACGTTTTAAAAAATATATATATCTAAAAGGTAAATAGCAGCATAAATCACCAAGAATTTCCAGCAGCATTTGAAATGATGTCATAGATTATCCATGGATGGATCCCAGCTTGAACACCAAGAGAAATAGCTTCTACAGCAGCAATAAGATGAATACCCTCTAGCAGCTCAGTGACTAATTTAATTTTGCTGCAATGGTTAGGAAATCAGAAATTTAGAGCTGAAAACATATTTAGGAATTTGAAGACCATGAGAAGGTGTTTACCGTTTTTAAAGTAATTTCATTCTTTAAGTGACAGATTGATGAAACAATCATACATTATGGAACTTAGTTAGCATCTAATTGATGTCATTCATCTTAAAGAAAAATTGCAGAACTTTTGGCAGCAAGTCAAGAAGAAAAAATACCTTCCAGCTCCAGTTTCACCTTCAAAAATGTAAAGCTTTTCACACATTGCTGCAAATAAAATGAAAATGTGGCTCAGAGACAAAATGCAGTTTTAACTGCATAAATCTAAAGAAGTGAAACTCATATATAACTGATTAGTTTGCAAAAAATGAACAGTACCAGATAGAAAAGGGCGAGCCTTTGAAATGGCATCAAACCTTCCTGAGGAGATAACCTAAAAGCATTTTATAAGAAACTAGTTAGAACTTTAGTAGAGAACAAGAATAACATTCCCCACATGGTAAGATACCAAGCATGGATTGAAGTTTATTCTGCCCAATCTTTCTTCCAAAATTCCCAAAAGAGACAAGGGAAAAGAAAAGGATAACTAAGTAAATAAGAAAAAAAACCCGGAAATTGGACCAATATATTTGCAGCTAAGCCAGAAAGGGAAAAGAAGATAGAGGTTTAGATAAAACATTACCACAACTTTTCCATTTAAGCCCTCAGATGTTGCCTTATAGACATATGCGTCAACTACTGAAGTTGCCAAACCATCATCTGTATGAGAAATAAAAGACCAACGTGAAGACAGGGTTCAAAATAGATGCCATGCAAATATAGTACGGTAGTGAAACCAGATTAGAAGGCAAAGAGGCCAATAAGAAAGATTAAGGGAGAAAACAGAGAAATACTAATTGATGATCAACTACTGCAATTTGAATAAACAAGAAACAAAAAAGCAAATTGATTATTAAACATCATAATATGTCCTCACACCATAGTACCTGTAAACTCTAAGGGTAGATGATGTCAGTGAAACAAAAAGAGCTTCATCAAAATTAAATCATAAATGGGATTCCTCTTCAAGGAATTAGAGACCATACAAGCCGTTTTAGTCTAAAATGAAATAAGCAGATGATGAGAAATGCATCTTGAAATAACTAGATAAACATTTGAAGTGGAAAATTTTTATAATTGAATTGCAAAAAGAAAGCAATTGGTTATCGTTAATTCATTGTTACTAGAACATGTATGTTGGAATCGTCAATTGGTTTCTGAACAAACACAGAGTAGCAGGGTACTGGTATCAGCAACCATGTGCTTTCAACAACTGAATGGAGAACAAAAACTACTCACTGGAAATACCATTCTCAAAGAACATGTTATCACATCAAGCGAAAAATATTAAAACCACAACTACCTCTAAGAGTCTTCTCCAGATTCTGGATGTGTGATGGCAATATGGTCGAATGAAGAACTATGACTGTATCCTTCTGTAATCCTGCAAAATTCATAAATTTGTATAAGCTGCCTAACAACAATGAGACTAACAATTATTTTGACATGAAAACAAAAACCTCATGAAGACCTTTCAAAGCACCATCATGACCAAAAATTAAGTCATTTATTTGATCCACGTGAGATATTAAGACAATCAAAGCTGCAACACCTGCATGATAAATAAATAAATAAATAATCAGAGGTTGACAACCAACTAATTTTATTGTGTTTCAAATTAATTTGAATGGATCATATACTTTTTCTTAACAAATAAGAAAAATGATAAAATAATTCAAAAAAACACAAACTAATACTTCTTTTGGACAATAATTTTGTATAATCACACATGCCTCCTAAATAGCCATTACCATGTACCAATCCCACAAAGCAAGCTCCAAGGAGGGGCTCATTATGAATAATAGTTCCGAGCAATTTTCCCTGAAAATTGTTCAAGGATCTCCAGCCCTTTAAGTTTTTAAGTATTTAGGTTAAGGGGTATATTAGTCCTTTGTCCTTATTGTTCTAATATAAATACATAGGAGACTACCATATTGGTAGACTCTACCTTTTGCTAATTCTCTACCTTCAACATGGTATCAGAGAAGGCTCTGCCCCCGTTTGTTAGACTCTTTGTGATAGGTCGTTATCCCTAAATGTGAAATTCATCCCACGTGATAGGTCCATTATCCCTACACGTAAGGGGGTATTGAAGTGGAGATAAATGACATCCCACATCTATTAAATTCAGGGTAACCTAGGTAATAAATATACCAAGGGTCACTCCACCAATAGCCAATTGGTTTTGGGTGGGATGCCCATCTAAAATTTAACAGTTTTCAAAAGCAGGTCTGACACCTTAATAGGCAAAGTCAGTTAGCAAATTCTTGATTGCAACCCACTCTGTAATCAAAGTTCCTGGATTGCATCTAAGACAGATTGCAACTACCTAACTTCCCACCTAGGAGATTAGCTGCAAATAATTACTGAATTTCAGTGTTACCCTTTCAGTTATAGCCTTCATTTTGGCGCTTAATAACAGCATGATGAAGACTGCATTTATAACCAATGCAGTGGCCACTTTCTACACAAATTAAATGGCAATGGCTGCCATCTCATCTTAGCACTAGAAGATTCCCTATATAATGGACCTCTCTAGTTATATTGTTAACATTTATAAGAATCTTCTGGGATAAAACAGATTATCTTCTACAGAAGCATACCACCCAATACCCAACTTGTTAATCATAACAGTGGAAACAATAGCAATTTTTCTATTATTTTTTTTCCCATTAGCTGAGCACATATGTTTGTCTATCATTCTTCTAAATGGAAGCATCATTTTGTGACATTTACACCTCATAAATATAAATATCATTCATTCTGGGCTCAAGAAATTCCCTCATTAAAAAATGAGAAATAACATATTGTAAAGTTGCAACATGCAGTTGAAGCTGATGACTGCAAACATCATATTATTCACATCTAACCTAGCTTAAAAACTTAAAAACTTAGCAACAAAAGAAAAACCCAGATAAGTGGCACTTGAAAGTTTAGCCCAATGGTAAGTGCAAGTATCCCTTTGCTCAAAGATCTGGGTTTGAATCCCTTGCCCTCTCAACCCCCCCACCCAAAAAAATAATAATAAAATAAGTGCTTATATCACATTACCTTTCCCTGTCTCCATAAGGCTGATGCATTCAGTTCCTCCTAGGTTCAAAAACTCATCCATCAAAAGCTTTTGGACCTACAGATGTAGAAAGTTGCAGCAGAACAGAAATAAAAACACTCAAAATCAATTTGAAATTGCAAGGCATTCCAATTCTGAGCAATAAAAATCCAATATCATATGAACTGCAGGGAACAATGCAAAGAAAGATGCTGGACTTGCAAAATTCATGATAAAAATGGCATATCCTTAAGTGATGACTAATTTGCAGAAATGTTACACATAAAAGTTAGGTAAATCCATGCAAAATTGACCTTGGAGCAATGTTTCATAAGAATTTTATGCTGGACTTGTTTCCTCATGCATGTTAAACCACATTGCAGCATGTATGAGGAATTTTACACTTAAGAGTACTTGTCTCTAGAAAATAGAAACATTGGCTTCATGAAGTCCAGCCTATTCAGTATCTGATTGGGTCATTAATGTGAACTTATAAATTTAGTTTTCCATAAAATTCAGAATCCCCGTCCTACAATTAAAATAGGATAGCATCAAAAGAAGAGTCAGTAAAAATGGAATCTTGACCATCGAAGTAATGCCACACATGACTAAACACTAGTGTCAAAAAAACTAGAATATCAAGATGAACAATGAGAATTAGAATCTTCGAGGATGACTTGATAAATCAGTAAAAAAAAAAAAGAAAAGAAGATCTGGATTTAGTAGTAAATATCAAGATGGAACTTAAGTCAAAGTCTCAAAGAAACTAAAATTCTAACATTGCAGCTTTCATTCATGTTAGCCAAATTTCAGCTCAGCAGAATTAAACTACTGGTATTCCATGAATCTATATCCTTGAACTTTCAATAACTTGTTCAGGTACCAATCTGTATAAAAGCTCCAAAATAGATTAAATAAAAAATATACATATCATTCCAATTTCATATTTGAAGTCCTATGGAACCAAATATTCTGATTGCCCATTCATTGATTCGGATTACAAATACATTTTCATCAACAACCAAACTGAGATTTCAAAATCAAGTTGGTTTAGCAATAGTCAACTGGAAAAATTAAAAAATAAAAATAAAAAGTTGTGATTTGGAACCTCAAAAGCTTGGACTTTGTAGCCGGCGCGGAGAAGCGAAGCAGCCATATCTAAGCTTACACGATCCAACCCAACGAACCCTACAACGCCAGCCATTGCAGAATTGAGAAAACACTTGACACCTTTTTTCTTCGCCTTGCTTTGCTTTCTGTTTATTTATTAATTTTGCTTTGCAATTTCCTTGTTTGTCGCTATATTATATCGCTTTGGATACTGGATAAAAGCAAACGGAACATAGATTGATGGGCCAGCAACTTCTAAATTATTTTCGAAAATCTTATATAGTAAAAAATTACAACTAAGGACTACTTTTGGGGAGGATTTGGAAAATAAAAAGAATTAGAAGTAAATGGTTATTTTGAAATTTTATGTTTACTCGAACGTAAGAATCATTCTGATTTTGACTTATTTAAAGGCCGATGGTTAGGCAATTAGAATTTTATCCGTTTATCACAACTCTTTCTGCGATGCACCTCTGTCCACAACTCTTTTTTAAAATTAATATTTGACATATTATTATGATATAAATTTTATATATTATTAATAAATATTAAATAAAATCATTAAAAAATTTTATATTAAATTTTTATATATTTATTTTAGTGATTTATAATAATTTATATTTGATAATGGATGAAATGATATAATATGATTTATTGATGATATATAAAATGATAATGCATCAAATATCTTTTTTTTTTTACATTTAAATTCAAATTCAAACTCATAATATAAAAAATCTAAATTCATGAGATTAAACTCAGTAGATGATATAGCGATAATTTGACATTCATGACATGTGGCATAGTTTTTATTAAATATTTATGTCACTTTAACTACCAAAGTATTGATGACAATGCAAAATATCAAAGTATTGACAAATTGAAAGTTGGATTACCTAAGTGTGAATTTTATTTTTTTTTATATACCAAATTAATAGAACATTTAAAATACAACGATTATCTTTCTTTCTTTACAAAAGAGATCACAATCTAAAAATTAAAAAAAAAAAAAATGGTTGCAAGAATTGTGATTTAAAAAAGTGAATTCATCAACGAATTAAGTTAAATTTCGAGTTTCAAATACAATTTCTTTGATTTTTCAACTTATAACATTCCATAACGACACCTGATTTATGTCCCTTTTAACATATTGCAAACACTTCAATCATTTGTTTCTTTTATATATTAATCACTTTTATTAGTAGCTAGTTAAATTAAATACTATTTTCTTTATCATTTATCTTTGGAGCACATCTTTACTTAGCCTTTGAAAAATACATATCTATACCATATATCGAAAATAATTCCATGATGGATTGTTCATTTGACACTGGATAATTTTCAATTTGTTAGAAATTTTTTCAACTTAGTTAAAGAAAACTTGAAAAAAGTAAACGAAAAAAACAAAAAAAAAAGAGGGGTTGAAAAGGTAAAAAAATAAAAGAATTAAAAAAAAAAGAGAGAAAAAATCAAGAGTTTTGGGGATTGGAAGACTAGAGACAGAAAAAAGGTAATAAGGGAAATAAATTAAATAAAAAGATTAAAGAAAGGAAAAAGAGAAAGACCTAAAGAAAGAAAAATAAAAGGATCTAGAGAATAAAGATTAAAAAGATAGAAGGAGAAAAAGAGTAAAGAATAAGAAAGTAAAAAGTGGAATTGGTTATGGTGGCTAGAGATTTTTTATAGAAAAAAAAAAGTTAGGAATGAAGAAATTTTGAAAAAAAATTATGGTATTAGTCTAGTGGATTCTTTCTTTTATTTTTTATTGTTATGTAATTTTGTCATTTGATTATTCAGTTTTCTTAAGATTTGCATAATTATTATTTTAGGGCATATTTTCATAGTTGTAATTTTGGTAAGATCTTTCATTGTTTTTTGTAGTATTCTAATTCAGTTCTATTTCTAGATTCCTTTTATTTCTTCCTTTTTTTTATTTTCTTATTTGCAATAGTTAAAGCCAAACCTGTAAGCAAATTAAGTTATTCTTTATATATTATTGTAGGATCATTGAAGACTTTTTTTGATAGTCTATAACTAATAGATTTTAACTTTTAGCCTTTTTAACTTTTTTTAGATAAATGCAAGCAAACTAGATAAATAAATTGTAATTGGAGATTCTATTAGCTAAGACTTCTTAGAATTCATTTTAGACTTTATAAAATCAAATTGCTTTGACATATATTTATGATTATAAGTTTATTGTACAACAATGATATTTGTTTATAAAATTAATATTAAAAGCTTACTTAAGCTTACTTAATGTTCTTCAAATATTGGTGATATATTTAGTTAAAAGTTATATACTGCCAACAAGATTGCATTCATATTATCACTTTGAACAATTGTTGTATTAAAATATGAAATGTAATGTTGAATTCATTTAATAGAATTATCAATAAATGATTGGATTTGTTTTTGTGTTAAATTTTTTTTAACATATTATTTCTTATACATTTCATTTGTCCATGAAAAATGTTATTATATTGTTGTTACTTAAAAATACAATGAAAATTTTTTAATAATTGAAGTTTTGTCAAAGATTTTATATAGTTCAGTATATTAGCTCTTTTTTATTGAGTTTTCAGATCCAACTTTTGTGTATAATGAATCTGTTATGTCAATTAAGGAAAAATAAGATTTGAAGACTTGGAAGACTTAAAGATAAATAGGTCAAGGGCATGATCGATACTTTCAAAAATATAGATTATCAATTTATTCTGAATAATGCTAAATTGCTAACCATGCAAGCGATAGTGGTGTTAGTATTAATGGAGCAAGAAATAGTAGATTTTTAAGATTAAATAGAACTACTTTGAATAGATGAAGGCTCTTAAGTGAAAATCATGCATGAAATTTTTGTGATAATGGTTTAATTAAGAAATTCAATCAATAATGAATGTAAAGAGCATGATGATGTATTTGATGTAATTAATAGTATATTGTAAATGAAATCATATTTCATTTTTTGATTTGACACTAAATTTTCACATATATTTCACTTTATACTCATCATTATTAATGGTTCATGTTTACAAAAAAATGTAAAGCAAGTTATGATAAAAATCTTTGATGCACCATTATTTGCTTTAAAATTGAAAATTGTTAATCACTTTGGAAATTTGTTCTATACTAAAAAGTTGAAGTAGTAGAAAAATATAGAATAAGCTTTTTGTTGCATTTTTTTAACTTGGATTGTTTTTGGTAGTTGTTGTAAATATCTTAAGAAATATCAGCTTGAAAGTAAAGAAATTGTATGAATATTGGTTGCTCTTTTCAGAAACGACAATGATATTGGGCATCTTTACTCTTTGTAAAATGTTCATTTTATAATTATATTTTAATTTTTGCATACCATGCTTTTAGTGGTAGTTAATGCACATTCAAATAAAGTTTTCATTTGTGATTATTGTTTTAATTATTTGAACTATTTCTTTAATGCTTATTTGTAAATACTATAAAAATAATTACTAACTTAATTATTAATTAAAACATATTAACTTATTAAATATCAACCCATGCAAAGCTAAGGTATCACACTAGCTCAACTGAAAGTGATCTACCCAACATTGAAAGAAAACAAAATGGGAAATTTCATGGTAACTTCATAATTGACAAATTATAGTGATAAAAAAAAAAGAAAAGAAAAAAAAAACATAAAAACCAAGTAAGAAGGTTTTCGTGGAAAAATTATAAAAAATAGTTAGAAAACTCTTTTAGATAATAAAATTTCTCCAATAAATTTATAAAAATGTGGAGTCTAACGAAAGATGATAAAAGAGAGGATGAGATGTTTTTTGCTTGCTCTAAATCCAATTCAACTTTTTCTTTCCCCACATTGATATCGAGTAATCATGTTCAATACTTTATTTAATTCAAAAAATATATTTTTAACTCATATTTGATTCAATCTAATCTAATCTGAAATCTATTTTAATAATTTCATCTTAGTATTTTTTTTATTAAAAATATTTTTTAATCTAAATGATATTTTAATTACATATAAATGCATTATATTACTAAATTAATATCTTGATTAACATACTAAATAATGAATTTATTAATATAATATATAATAAAAAATTAAATAAATAATAAAATATATTACTTTTATATATACATTTTGCATGAGTTGGGTAAGATATTATAAAACAGTACTTTGCAATCTTTGATTTTCATACAATAACACATGCCTAATAGATAATGATGAGTTTTTTCAATAATGTGCCTTTTTTAGCGTATCATTTACAATTATTATAGCATAATTAATTAATTATAATTCAGCAATCTATAAGATCCATAAAAAATTATATAGAACCCATACTTTTATGTGGTGAACCCTTTACATAAACTTTTTGTTATGATTGACTAATTCTACGATCGTAATAGAGAGAGTTGTAGGTGAAATGCTTCTATCTTTATTGTATCTGTAGATTGTTTAATTATCAACTTTGTTCTTTAGCTTATACTTTTGCTGAATAAATATATTACAACAAATTTGGTAATTAATGATATATAAAATAATATCACAAAAGGTTATTTTTTTGTCACCAATAAGCTTTTATGATAAAAATCTCATTATCATAACGATCGTCACATTTGCACCATCATTAAAAGTCAAACATGACAATACCAAAAAAGTGTCACCTATTTATAAATTTAGGTTCACAATAACATAAAATATCACTTTATATTTTTTATCTTTTGTGATGATTGGTGTCATAATAGATTTATAAAATCTAGACTTAGTTTGCATAAAATCTTAAAGTAAATAAAAATATAATAATTTCAGATTGCATAAAACCACATGAACTTTAATATAAAATAAAGAATTAAAAGTGAGTGTTGAACCAAAATAGAACTTAATGAAGCTTTAAAGTTGAATTTGTAATTAAAATAATTAGACTTGAACTTTTAAAAAATTGAAATTAATATTTGTATAAGCTTAAAGATAGTTTAAAAACATAACATGAAAACATAAAAAAGGTAACTAAACTAAAAGCTAGTCTGTCACACTAATCATGCATTTCTTCAAGCTTAAAGTTAGATATTTATAAGAGAAAGTTACAAAAAGTCTTAATTTAATTGGCAGCTTTGAAATCTTCTGAACTTGAAGTTTACTAGTTTTATTCAAGTGAAACTTCTATAGAAAAATATATTTGGATTGAATCTTATCTATATTCATCAGTAGAATACTTTTTTGACATTTTTTTTTAAAGTGATTGTGAATTTCAAGCAAGGGATAGATTAAGTGGCATGTTAATTTAAAATTTCAACCATTTTATCTTTAATTTAACTTGGAGAGTTCTGAAAATATCATAATGCCACATCAAACTCCTACTCATATCTCCTTAGCTAATGAGATTAATTTTTTTGCCATGTAATCCC